CGTAATATACTAAAACAAAATTGTTAAATATTTCAAAGAGAAAATAATTTCGATGACAAAGGAATATTTACCGGAACAACTGTTTACTCTTCCTGAATCTCATGATCTATACAATGCCAGCATTAGCCAGTCAGGTCCAAAGATAAAAAAGTAGCTTTACAGTTGGACAGGCGATGCTTCCGGTTTTTCTGCAAATCGAATTTTTGTACTTAGAAAGTCTTCTTCAGAAGCTAAATATGCCCAGACTCTTTTATACTTTTTGACGAAAATCTTATATCTATAATCGTAAAAGAACCAAACCGATTTGCTCAATAGCAAAATAGGAATTTGCAGTTCAAAAAGGATGAGTTTTTCGTTTTATTGGGTGAAATACTGTTATCTGGATATAGCAAATATACTAAGAAAAGAATGTACTGGCATTCAACAGAAGACATGAAAAAAATGTTAACCTAACAGTATGCGAGGAAAAACTACACTGTTTCATCCCATTGCTTCTAAATTTGAAAATAAATGATACATGATACGCTATAATAAAATTGACAGAATGTGCCAAGATTTCGAGAAAAATCAAATTTCAATTATGTAAAATGTGATTGTCAAATTCATCCTAAATTTTGTTTTAAAGCTTACATACCAATTTTTCTGTTTTTATCTATTAATAATTTCAATATGTACTTGTAGTATGTTCAGTTTGCATGAAGTCCCTTTAGAGGGACACTTAAAATTGTGGCAATAAAAATACCAAATATATTTTCATGATTTTTTTCCAACTTTTTACTTTCCTATCTGTATACAGATATAAGGTAAGTATAGGAATCATGATTTTTTTCGACCTCGAGTTTTCGACGGATTTTTACGTTTTGAAGTTCCCTGAATCCGGTTGGACTATTTTCGCGATGATATGTGTGTGTGTGTGTGTGTGTGTGTGTGTGTGTGTGTGTGTGTGTGTGTGTGTGTGTGTGTGTGTGTGTGTGTGTGTGTGTGTGTGTGTGTGTGTGTGTGTGTGTGTGTGTGTGTGTGTGTGTGTGTGTGTGTGTGTGTGTGTGTGTGTGTGTGTGTGTGTGTGTGTGTGTGTGTGTGTGTGTGTGTGTGTGTGTGTGTGTGTGTGTGTGTGTGTGTGTGTGTGTGTGTGTGTGTGTGTGTGTGTGTGTGTGTGTGTGTGTGTGTGTGTGTGTGTGTGTGTGTGTGTGTGTGTGTGTGTGTGTGTGTGTGTGTGTGTGTGTGTGTGTGTGTGTGTGTGTGTGTGTGTGTGTGTGTGTGTGTGTGTGTGTGTGTGTGTGTGTGTGTGTGTGTGTGTGTGTGTGTGTGTGTGTGTGTGTGTGTGTGTGTGTGTGTGTGTGTGTGTGTGTGTGTGTGTGTGTGTGTGTGTGTGTGTGTGTGTGTGTGTGTGTGTGTGTGTGTGTGTGTGTGTGTGTGTGTGTGTGTGTGTATGTGTGTGTGTGTGTGTGTTTGTGTGTGTGTCTTTAGGTCGCATAACTCATGAATCGATACACAGAAAAACACCAAATTTTAAACTTAAGCTTTATTCCAGCGTCTAATGAACTGATTAGATTTTGGGCAGAGTCGGAACATCTGGGGGGTACTTTAGAGGTGGTCATTTTTATATTTTATGGAATATATCTGTTATTTACGTTTAGACAAGAAAATTCTTCAAATAAAAGTTACTTATAATATAATTATCTATAATATGTATACAAAATTTTCCTAAAATGGTTCGTATTCGAGAAATTTGACAAAATGTAAAAAAAATATTTTTTTATAAAAATTGTTTAAACAAAAGTTGTTTGTAATATAATTCTCTATAATTTTTATTCCATACATAATTTCTCTAAAATGGACCGTATTCGAGATATTTGAGAAAATGTGTAAATTTCGAATTTTGAAGAAAACTCAAAAACGGATAAAGAAAAAAACATTAAATTTTAAACTTAAGTTTTATTTCGGCCTGACGTGAAATGATTAGATTTTGGACAAAGTCGGAACATCTAGGGGGTACTTTATGGGAGGCTGTTTTTATATTTTATTGAATATATCTGTTATTTATGTTTGGAGGAGAAAATTGTTCAAATAAAAGTTACTTCTAATATTATTATCTATAATTTTTGTCTTATGTCAAAATTTCCTGAAATGGTCCGTATTCGAGAAATTTGACAAAATGTGCAAAATTCTGATTTTTATGAAAATTGTTGACCTAAAAGTTGTTTGCGATATCGATCTCTATAATTTTTGTTTATACATGATTTTTCTAAAATGGACCGTAATGGAAAAGTGCTAAATTTAAATTTTTCAGTATTTTCGTTTTCAATGAATATCTATAGAAAAATGTTTCGAGGTAGATGTATGTGGACAATGTATATATTTAGTTTATCCTCTAAACATTTATAGAGATGCTGCAATAGGTTGTACAAAATAACCGGAAAAAGCCTATAAAAACTAGATAGGAAAGTCATGTGTTGGACACATCAGATTTTTATATATGCTTTAAAATATTACATTAAAAAAATCCCAAAAATCGAATTCTGTATAACTTCATGCTCTAATGGGTTTTTAATATATTTTTTTATTATGTTACTACTGATACCACAGAACGACTCAAGTCCTACAAAGGGTGTTTGAGTCCCTTTCCTTGCGAGACTATCTGCAATCTCGATACAGTTTACCCTGTTATACCCCGGGACCCAGCAGAACAACTATATTTTCCGCGCCCAGCTCATTCAGTTTTTCTAGGCATCTCCAGACCATTGTTGAGCTGATTACGTAAGAGCATAGGACATGGGACATGATGATAATATCTTGTATATAATAGTTTTCCTCGATGTTAAAGTGGATACATTTGTCAATGGCGTAAATTTTCTCCTGGAATATGCTTGAGTATTTTCCCAAACTGTCAGTGCCTGATTTTAGGCCCATACACTTCTATTTCAGTTCCTTTTATAGTATTGGAATTATCCGTGTACCTCTAAATAACATGTCTTTCGGTGGATTCTTGGCTATATTCTTTCTTGCAGCTCAGCTTTGTGGTTTTGATGCTTTATACAAAATTGTACTTATTGCTGATTTTATCCCAAGTATCTTTGGTCCTGAAGCTAATAGACTTGGCTGATTACTTTATTCCTGATCATTCTATATCGTGTCTTTTTTTGCCACGTTCTCTATCATTAAATGTATAGAGGGGTGAGGTTTAAAAGCGGCCGTAGAACAGGTTCTTATTGCACCGGTGATGCAAGTACTGGCTAGTCTGTTACTCCAGTCTATCCCCATAAGTGATGATTGATCTTACTATTGCTTTATTCATCCGCAACTTTTATCCTCAATGTTTCTGCATTTCATTAGGGCCTTTGTGGCCTTATTTACTACTTTTTTCTTATATATATATTCCAGAGAAGTTTGTTGTCCAGAGTTAGGCCTAGATATTTAACTTGTTTTTTCCATTCTATATCCATCTCGTTTAATTTAGCAGTTTTTAGATTGAGTTTTCTTCTCCTCAAAAAGGCTACTAGTATTGTTTTCATGCGGTTTATACTATCTCACCTCCCGGCACCATCTTTTGGTGTGTTCTATATCACAAAAGATATTTCCATACTTGCCTCAAGCAAATATAACTATATCGTTGCCATAGCCTTGGTAATTCGTCTACTTCGTCTACGGTTAGACACCACATAAGTTGGACTTCTGGTTGTTCAAATAAATATGGTGTCTACCCTATCTGTGTCTGCAATTCTCGTAGATAGCATCTAAACAATCCATCTGAATATGGTGCTATCTACTGCTCTGTATGCAGCTTCTCCTGTGACAGCTTTATGTGGCGTGGTGTCAAACGCTCTTTCGATATCTGGAAAGGAATAGACAACCGTTTCTTTGTTTGTCAGTGCACCCTGGATTTCGTCAGTAAGTTGTACCAGGGCAGTTTCTGCAGATCTTTCTGTTCGGTATACAAGCTAACTGTGGTGGAGTGGCACCCTCTCCAGGACTACTTTCTGATATAATTATCAACAGCCTTTTCTATTTTTTTTTTATTATTATGATAAATAAAATGTATTAAAAATAAATGAACAACAATAATAATTATTATTATTATTATGATAAATAAAATGTATTTAAAATAAATAAGCAACAATAGTAAACGACTGCTTGTTTATTGCTCTACAAACTGTGCTAACGGGTCATGTCAAGTAATTTTTTCAATGAAATATTTGTATTGTTAATTTTTTTAGCAGATATTTTTTACATCTTTGAGTTGTCCGACGTTTCTTTTACAGGGATTTTAAATTTAATCCTTGCAAATGACACTTCCTGATGGTCTCGCCTACTACTCTTAGAGTATTACATACAGGTAAATTTTAAATACGTATTTCCTATTTGAGTTGAATAATATTTCCCAGACTCTTAAAACATTATTTTCATCTTAGTAAACTTAGTAAATTTTTTACATGTTTTTCGATCTTCTAGAAAAATGTTAACTAATATGTAATTTTTATTGAATTTAAAATAATTGAAACTCATTTATTTAAATTTTAATAATCGCAATAACGATTCAAAGTATGACTAAAAAATTATGTCATCGTCCAACTCTACGTTTTCTCCGAATTGATTTTATCATTTCTTTTTAAAGTTTTAGACGGAGGTAACTATTTGAAATATATTGTGAATAATATTATGGAAGAGTATCTAAAAAACATGTTATTAAAGTAGTTATTAAATTTTTGAAAAATAATTTTAAATAAGGCATACGCTTCTGAATTTGGCATAACCAACTATGACTTGGGGATATAACATCATTTTTCATAGGCGTACTCTGAAAAATAAATTTCTATAATATAAATAAGGCCACATCATATAAAAAAAAATGAGGTACAAATAAAATGTCTACCACTTTAACCTGTACGACATTCTCCAAATTAAATTACTGTACTTCTTTCTTTTCTAGACTATAGCGTTATTGCAAAATAATCTGTACAATTTACGTGCGTGTCATTTCCTTTTGTTCTTTTTGCACTTACCTACACCAGATCCACAAACAGAAATACCCGTAGCTAGAGATCTTTTCGATTCAAAGTAATAACCGACCATTACTACTGCTGGTAAGTACATAAATCCATAACCAACACCACCAACAAAACCATACACTAACATCAATGTACTGACGGTCGGACAATAAATGGAGAGAGCTAAGGCTCCTGAGGCTATTATACAACCTGTAAATTTTAAAAATATTAACAGTTGTAGGTAGAATTTTAAAACAAATAATTTTCCCTAAAATGTCATTACAGTGTTAAAAAATATATATTTACCAGCTATACAAGTCACTCTACAACCAAACTTATTAGCTACAGCGCTTACGATGGGTCCAGCTCCTAACATGGACCCCGCCATAATGGACCCCACCCAAGCCGTGGTACCCTTCGTTGATCCATAATGATCAACTAAAGCTGGTAATAAGATTCCAAAGGAATATCCAACACCATCGACTACTAAATTACACATGAAGGAAGCTACGACGATGACCCAACCGTATCCTCCATCTGGAGGTGGTGGAATGTTGTCTATATCTTCTGCATTGAGTTCTTCTTTTAGTCTCGCTTCCTCTCTCTTGGCGATCTTAGCTTTAGCCTGAAAATAAAAATAGAGGTCAAAGCTAGTCCAAATAAACATAATTAATACAATGACATAGGTGCTGTTTTTTTTTTTTATACTACGCGATGCCATTAACTAAGCAGGGTAACAATCACTGTAGCGTCTTAGTTGCAACGGATAGTCATAGTTTGTTAGCAAAATTGAAAACATTACAAGATGTAGTGCTTGAAAAATATTATTTAAGGGTATAAGAGATTTTAAAAATACGCAAGGCAAGACAATTTAAGTAAAAATTGCACCGTACGCTCTTCTGTCTCATTATTTTTTTAAAATTTGGATACATCTAACTGCTTGAATTTTTGAATCAAAAATTTCTAATTTGAAATACAGATTAGAGACCTAATTTAAGACTATTTCAAATTAGGATTCGTTAAGATCCGAAAGTTTTTTCTTTCTTTACAGATATCTCTAAAATATAAACAATCCTACAATATGGCGGCTGTCGGTCTAATAATTATTACAAAAAGCATGATTTCAATTTGCAAATTTTGACACAATTTTTAAAATTGTCGCGTTAATTATCATGTCATTTTAGTACATCGTGTTCACCACTAATGCGACATGCAAGGCTGAGTTAACATATGCATTGGAATTTGGGCGACAACTAATGGTTGCCAATCAGAAAAGTAAACGTCATATGCCAAATTAATGGTTGACCAATTAGAAATGCAAACGGCATGTCAAATTATTTTAAAGTACAATACGAACCGACGTTTAAATATACTTGCATATGATAATACGACGTTGCCGTTCTATGTATGTTTACAATGGTTTTAAAGATATTTATTGAGTGACAAAATCTTCCTCCATGGACAAAATCGGGAAGCTTTTAAGGCACATGCACTTTTGTTAGTTGACAAGAATTAAAAAAAATTATTTTGTACGTTCTCAAACCTGCTTTATACAGTGTGTGCCAATAAATTGGCTCCATATGTGATTTTTTTTTAATATTACGATTGAAAAAAAAATCGTAGACCAATCATCTCTGGTTATTTAAAAACCTGAACTAACCGATATCAAATTTGAATACTAGAATTAGTTCTGTCAGTCTTGTTAAAAAAAAGATTTTTGAGCGATTGTTCAAAATTATTGCGAATTTGACAGGTAAGTAATATACGTAGCCAACTTTTTAAATAATCAGAGGTAAATGACGTTTTTTCTGGTCATAATATTAAAACAAATTGCCATATATATATATATGGACCCAACTTTATTGCACTCACTGTATGTCACAGACGTGCCATAAAGACTAATTTTAAGAATTGAAGCCAATGAAGTGTGCAAATGGATATTTTTCTGCAAGATTAATTTTGAGTTTGTTTGAAGTAGTTATTGTAATCAGTTTTATTAATGTTATAATTGTATTGGTTTATGAGCAATTTTAATAAAAACTAATTCAAAACTTGTAAGAATACCTAAATATTTTTGTTTATTGCAAAAATAATTATTGATAGGACATGGGTGGAAGAAAATATAAAAAATAATTAGACATAAAAAAGTAGTTTATTAGAAAAAAGATTATAGTATATTACAATAAAAACAACCTAAAATATAATACAGATGTCAAAAATATTGGAAATGGGTCCTTTATATATCTTTCAACATTAAATTTTTGTTACACTTTTATTCCTTGAGGAACTTTGGAACCAAACGACTTTTGGGAACACATGACTTTCCCCAAATGCACATCTTATTTCTCTTCCTCTTTCTACTCGGGACATTTGTATGATGCCCCATATTTTATAAGGCAAACGTTTATACACTAACTACTAAAACTAACTATCACTAAATATATTCTTATAATTAATAGAAGTCTTATAAAAGTAACAAAATCACAAATAACGAAAAAGCACAAAAAAATACCAACACCTACTCAAAAATCTGCCAAAATTCAAACACGAAAAACGAACTGTTTACGTTTTGTCGTTTAGACTTCAATCCTTCGACATTTGAGTTTTTTGGCATGTCAGTTGCCAGAGACAACTACCAGTTGCTTAGTTCCGAAATTCACAATAATCGATCCAATCGATTGTTAATTTTCACAATTTCTGTCTAATCAACAAAAGCATGAGCGATCACTTTATTGTCAAATTATATTTTTACTTAAGTAATATGATGCATTTTAGAGGTACCATTACCTAATAAGTAGGCATAAAAAATTAAAAATTATTATTTTATTATCGAAATGAATCGAGGATCATTCAAATTATAAAATAATCGATTTATATTTATAGAAGTTTTGCAAATTTTTAGGTAAAATGTAAACAAAACCCTTCGAATTAGGAAAAACCATAAAGTAATAAAATTTCTACCCAACCATAAAATACCTTTCACGCCAACCCAAAAATTGCGATGTGGAAAAGTTTAATTGACCCGGTTCTTTAGGATTAAAATTATTATTATGACCGTCAAATATACAGTGCGTCCATAAATTAACGCATAAATTCATTATTGGCCAAATGAACAATAAAATTAGGAATTCCCAAAACAGGTCGATTTTTGATTTCAATTTACTATTGTTTCAAATCATAATCTAATATACAGGGTGAACCACTTTCGTGTAATGACGTCATCACCATTTTTTTCAAATGGAACCCCCCCCTTTTTTTTTCAATTTCCAAATTGCCTTTGCTGAGCTGATTCCAAAAATGTATAATATGTTGCTTCAAATTGGTACAGGGTGGGCAAAAATGCAAAAATTTACTTACAAAGTAATGAAAATAACGAATAAACGTAATAAACACATTAAATGAAATTACGTATTGTTATTACAACTACTTTGATAAACTATCAAGAACATACAGCATTATTCTTAATAATTGTATCTTACAACTTTTATTAGTGATCCAAGCCCCTGGACTATAAAAATCTTTTTGTTTGGCATTATCTTTTACCAGTCTTTTTATTTGACATACCAGTTTTTTTTATTTGACAACACTGTCAAAAACATTGAAGCACAGTTTCGTATTGTTAACGCTGTAGAGAAGGTACGTTCGTGAACTTTTTTTACAAAATGCCTTTAACCGAAAGTGACAGGATTGAAATATTAATGATGATTGGTATTGGCGATAAGATGCGGACTCAACAAGAGGTATGCCGATTATTCCATGAAATGCACCCAGATCGTGAACCTATTTCACAATCTACGGTAAGTAGAATAGAGCGAAAATACAGAGAATTAGGACATGTGAGGGATGCAGCAAGGCAAGGTAAACCAAAAATTGATGAAAATATTCAACAAGACATAATTTTGTCGGCTGTAGAAAATGCACACTGTACAGTGCGAGGATTATCTAGGGATTTTGGTATTGGAAAGTCTTCAGTATCAAACATTTTCAAAAAGGTAAAATACCATCCTTATAAAGTACGTCTCATCCATAAATTGGCTGAAGACGACTTTGACCGAAGAACTGAATTCTGCGAGTATATGATGAACCAAAATAACAATTTCATTGATAACGTTTTATTTTCGGACGAGACAACGTTTTATTTGAACGGTCATGTTAACCGGCAAAACACCCGTTATTGGTCTGATGAAAATCCACACTGGATGCTAGAGTACCATACGCAAAGACCACAAAAAACTAACGTATGGGCTGGTATTGTGAGAAATACAATTATTGGTCCATATTTTTTCGATGAAAACTTAACAGGAGCATTATATCTGGATTTCCTACAAAATACATTAATTCCTGATCTGATCCAGCTTTTTCCTGATATTCAAATACCCACTAATGTAGACCGCAGAATCTGGTTTCAACAGGATGGCGCACCGCCACATTACGCAGTAGCTGTGCGCAATTTTTTAAACACAACTTTTCCACAAAGGTGGATAGGAAGAAGGGGACCAGTGGAATGGCCTGCTAGATCACCTGATCTGAACCCATTAGACTTCTTTTTATGGGGTTATTTAAAATCTAAAGTCTACTTCAACAGACCTGGAAATATCCCTCAACTACAAGACCGAATCAGACAAGAAATACAGAGCATAACACCCGCTATGCTACAGAATGTTAGAGACGAAAGTAATGCCCGGTTCAGTCATTGTCTAACGGTCAATGGAGAACAATTTGAACATTTATTGTAAATTTTCGTTCGTTTGTTTGTTTTTGAAAGTGTATCACATTAATTGCATAACTACATAATTCCATTTAATTTGTTTATTACATTCAGTAACGTATTACTTTCCATAAACAATTTTCATATTTTTTTTTGCATTTTTGCCCACCCTGTACCAATTTGAAGCAACATATTATACATTTTTGGAATCAGCTCAGCAAAGGCAATTTGGAAATTGAAAAAAAAAGGGGGGGTTCCATTTGAAAAAAATGGTGATGACGTGATTACACGAAAGTGGTTCACCCTGTATATTAGATTATGATTTGAAACAATAGTAAATTGAAATCAAAAATCGACCTGTTTTGGGAATTCCTAATTTTATTGTTCATTTAGCCAATAATGAATTTATGCGTTACTTTATGGACCCACTGTAGTTTATAAGTGAATACAATATTCCAGTAATGTGAATAAATGTTGAAATATTATTCTTAAGTAAAATTTAATGTTTTTTTCTTCTTGTCACATTTAACCTACTTACTACTTACCAAGTAGGTACACGTTTTGACAGATTAATTTTTCATGTAACAGTGCAATTATTAAATTAAAACTGGATATCGAAAAATATATTATTCTTCTAAAACATTTATTGGTATCTGTCTATAGTCCTTCCATTATCAATTGCAGAACACAGTTATGTGGGGAATCATCAATATTTAATATATACGCACGGTACTCATGCCAAATTAAGAATCGAAAAATAATGTTTACTCCCCTTATACAAAGCGGTAAATATTAAACAAACCATTAGTTGTTTACCAATGAAAACATCGAATCGTAAACTTAAATGCACTGTATTGACCGAAGGTTTACGGAAGGCAGGTGTTCGAAAATATTCCTGGAAGACAGTCTGCGATATC